CAGATAGAGGTAGGAATATATAAAATAGATTGTACAAAATAGCCAATGGTGTACATCAGCAAAAAAAAAAAAAAAAAAAAAAACAACATTAAACAAAAAACAATACAAGCATCACAGAGATATGCCATATGGTAGGTAATATTCAGTTTTGTCATTATCTGTCAAATTTATCCCTACTTTAGTCCATTAGAAAATGTCAAACTATTGGCAACCTGAAGGTCAGTCATTCAGTTATGTGTCATGTATGATACACGCTTAGTGATCATGCATCTTTCAATATATGCCATCCAAAGCTATAGAATCCGATCTGTCCTGCTATTTTACCCATAACTGGGGGGAGAAGAAGAGGATTCATACCTTTCCCAAGGGTATTAGCACATAAGTGAATGTAATAGATTTGACTGGAATTCGAACTCGGCACTCTGATTCCTCAATCCGAGCCGCTATCCTTTACTTCATCATAGCTTGTGCATAATGCGACCCCAGCTCCTGAGCAATGTTGGTAAAGAAAAGCTGGGGGCTACTTCGTCTTGTTGTTTACAAGGAAAAAATATCTACACCATACAAATTTTATTTTGGAATGATATCTACATAGTAAAACAGAATAACACTCACACATTTCACATAACAAAGAAAATGTAATTAATATATTAAAATTTTTTCTTTTATTCATATTCAGCATGTCAGTTAAGTGACATACGTGATACACACTTGGGTGATCATGTATCTTTCGATACTTGACTGACAAGGCAGATTTTTTTCCCCACAGTAGGTCTCTATTTCTTTCTGCATTAGACTGGTTGCCAACCAAGGCTAAAGAATCCACTATGTTCTGCTATTCAACTCATATCTGGGGAAGAAGAGATGGATTCATTCATTTCTGAAGGGTATTTGTGTGCAAGTGAATCTAACAAACTCGACTGGAATTCAAACTTGGCTCTCCAAGTTCTCCCTCTGAACTGATATCCATTACACCACAACAAACATTCACCATGTACATTTGCTAAAATGTCTACACTGTTAAAAAAATTTTTCTATCAATAATATTCTAGTGATAAACATGGACATCAACTAAAAATAGATTTCATACCAAAGAAGATTCACGACACAGATAACAAACTAAAGTAACACCAAAAAGTTTTTCTTTTGTCTCATATAGAGTGTGAAAATAAAATTCTTTAAAACCAGTCTACTGCTTTATTTATTTACATAGATATATAACGTTTAACTCAAAATTACACCATGTATAGGTTCCAACTGCATATGTAAGCAAGCATGTGGCTGTGTTGTTAGAGTATTAAAACCATGAAAACCAGGTTCAAATACCATAGTTAATTAGTCATGTTGATGACTTTATAACATCGCCCAAGGAAATGATCCATATGTTTAGCACCACCAGGAAGTGTCTCAAAACTAACCCAACAAGCTGATCAGTCATGGACAGGAAATTACATAATTCACTCAGTTAAGTGCCATATGTGAAACATACTTGGGTGATAATGTATCTTTCAATACATAACTGATGAGGCAGATTTTTTTCCCCACGGCAGGTTGCCATTTCTTTCTGCGGTAGCCTGGTTGCCAACCAAGGCTAAAGAACCTAGTCTGCCCATAGCTGGTAGGAGAAGAGACAGATTCATGTGTTTTCCCAAGTGTTTTGCGTGTAAGTGAATCTAACAAACTTGGATCTCCCAAGTTCTCACTCCAAGCTGATATCCATTACACTAAAAAGGTTACAATAAAATTTGTATTTTATACGAATACTACCTTATGACAATTGGGATGTAGTAGAATTCAAGGCCCAATATCATAGACATAGGTGTAGGGAGGGGATAAGTCTTTTTTGCCAGCCCTGAGTTGTGTGTATGGCCTATGCAGAGACTGATCTTAGTTCCTAAGAGAAATTTTCAGACCTCATTTCACAAAACTGAAAAATTGAAAGAACAAAAAAAAAAAAAAAAAAAGTACTTTGTTTTTCTTCCCCTAAGTTCCATTTTATCCAGAAATAAATCAAATACCTTTATTTGTAATGTCGTAAAAATGTCAAACAAAATTGTCCAAAATTTTTAACAATTTCTGATTTAACCCATTTGATAAAGAAAGACCAAAGAGAGAGAATTAATAATAAATGAGGCACTATTTTTTTTTTTTGTTTTTGATCTTGTAAATATCCTTTACCCACCCCCATTTTTTTAAAATCATAATTTTGCTGAAATAAAAATTATTGTAATGAAAAATCACCTGGAGGAATACAAACAGAAATGCTACATTGAAATTTACATCACTTCTGCTTGTCGTTTTAGTCTTCATTTTGTAAATATCACAAAAGCTAGTTCATACAAGGAAAGCAAGAAAAATGGTAGATTATGGTGCGCCAATCATCCAAGCAGAGAAAGTCGACGTGCTTTTTTTCAAGTATTCATTCATTCATGCATTCGAAATCCTGGTTCCCATAAAGTTAAAGGTTGTCTATAAACTCGAGCTTAAAAAACAATCAACATGAATGGAAACTGCTCCGCTATCCGTCCCCAAACACCAAATATGGTTAATATAATGTTTTGAAATATTCTATTTTTGTATGTGGGGGGGGGGAATTAAAAAGAAAAGAAAAAAGAAACCTTATTAAAGGACTGAGGGAGAGAAAAAAAAAAGTACCGCCAACAGGTCAGGTATTGTGTAAACAAGATTCTCTTTCCTAAATCACCGTTTGGTCATGTGACCGAAGCTACGGTCGCTGATTGGTTGTAAAACTTAAAAATTCGACCCCTTTTTTTCCTTTTTTTTTTTTTTTAAAAATATAACCCCCAAAAAAATAAGTAAATCGACTTTAGGCGTTTTGTAAAAAAATGAACGTCCAATGTTGGCTCCTTTATAGTTAGCGGATATTATTATTATTTTTTTTAAATGATGGCCTTCCTAAAATAAGTAAGCATTCCCATTGGTTAAAAAACTATTTCAACACTAACAGGCATTCAGTTGACCCATTAAAATAAAACAGCCACTTTTTTTTTTTTTTTTTTTAACAAAGCTCGTATTGAGAAAACAGAAAAATCCAACAGGATCCGTCAATCAATTGAAAGTCGAATTAGAATTATGTACTTGACTATTTCGTGTAGAAAAGGCGATGATCACAATGCAGGATATAAATTTTTTTTAAAAAAATGTGCTGTCAAAACAACTCCTTTAATTATGGCAATCGACTTTTTTTTTCTAATAATGCCACTTTAAAAAAAAAAAAAAAAAACTTCATGATCATAAGTAAATAAATTTTCAAAAATAGTCTCTAAATAAAAACATTTAAAATCTGTTTCCCAACAACCTCAAATAATTTTAAGAGCTCTAAAGGATAATAATTTAAACAACCGCCATTGCATAAACTTAAGAACTAAAAAAAATAATAAAAACTGGACATACATCATTTCTGGGACTGCTACGGATTTTTAGGGCAGAGAAACAACACACCCAGTCACAGACATTATTTATTAACAGTAACACCTTCAACAATAAAATCCGTACATTACACTTACAGACTACGAGAATATGGACAAGATCATTAAACAAAACAAAAAAAAAAATTAATAATAATAATGTACGAAATTTAGACGGGGTAAAAAAAAAAAAAAAAATCTACAAAAAATATTAAAATAATAACGCATTTTTAAAAGTGTGGAAGGGACAGAGGACTCCTTTAAGTTTAAAATATGGTGATATAGTTTTTATTTTTCGTATAAATAGATGGCGAAAAAAACAAAATACACTTTCAAAAAATCATCAAGGAAAAAAAAAAAAAAATAAGCCAACAAAATAATTACATTTTAATGAATTAACCCATGACAAAACAAGGAAATCAATTTCTTGGTGAAAAATAAAAGTAAGTAAAAACTGTGTAGGTGTACTACTCTTACAAAAATGGTGTACTCCTCAGAGGTTTAAGAAGCCAGAAGAAAAAAATATATATATATATACACATATTTATTTTAGGAAATGAGCAGAAGTTACAGAATAGAAAGCACTCACTTGACTTGTCTTCTGTACGGAAAATACGTCTATCGTTGGATTTTTTCCCCCCTCTTTTAAGAGATGGCCTTGTCATTTTAAAACGAGTCGAGATATTTCAAACACGTGAAGGGACGTAATTTATATGTAAAAATGGTCGGATATTTTGAGGAATACGAAATAACGGAACAATTTCTTCCTTAGAGAGAGAGAGAATATTTAGTAAAGAAAACTAGGCTATGTGTTATTTGTGAATCGAAAGAGAACAGAAAAAATAACCCCAGATGGTTTTTAAATCGTAACGACACATCATAAAACCAGACTGAAAACACTTAAGACATTTAATGTTTTGTATGTTTAACTAACTGTTAAAAAGATGAGCATTTTACAATGAAAACCTGGAAATTACGTGATTTTTTTTAACAAAACGTCAGAAAGAAAAATTATCGTTTTCTTTCTTTTTTAAGTTTTAATCACCTAGTTACTTAAATATGTATTGAAGAAGAAAGAAGTATTTAAATAAAAAGTAAGGAAAAAATTGATAACTGTTTTAGGAACAAGTTGAATTTTTGGACTAATTTTTTAAAAATGGTAAATTTTTAAAGTGTTTTTTGTGGGATTGAAAATAAAATTATTTATAAATAATGGACCTATTAATAATCAACATTAGAATTAAAATGTAAAATAACAAAACATCAATGCATCATAATTAGAGAAAAGACATTTTTATATTTTTAATTAAAAAATGGATCGCGTACTACAGTAAGAACGTATTGTTATACGTTAAAAAAAGTCTACGTAAGAATTGTTTTCTATTTAAAAGATTAATGATTAAAAATATAAAAAGGGAAAACCTAATAAAAACCCTTACATTTTTTTTTTTTATTTGGGAATCACTGATAAATAAGAAAAAGACTAAAAAAATAATGGAAAAAGAAACTAGAACGTATATATATATATTTTTTTTTTTTTTTCTGCTTGAGTACTTTTTTTTAAAATCTTACCTAGAAACGTGCGTCCTCTCCGCGAACAGGTAGCAGAAGGGACTGCAGTAGGATCTTGGTTTAAAGGGGTCCGTGTAGGAGAAGAAACCGAATTCCCACAACAACAATAACAACAGCGGGGAAACCACAAACTAAAAATTTCGCGGAAAAAGCACATGTATTCCAATACGCATGCGCGCTCGGTGATCTCCACTTGATTACAGTTTTCGTAGCCGCACTTTCGTTTCCATTCAAAATTTACTTAGAAAACACTAGGTTTCTTAAAAATGTTATTATATCCCAATCAACTTTTTTTTTCTGCATAACAGGTAGAATAAATTCTAGACGCACTAAAAACAATATAGACTGACGGCTTAATATCCCTAACAATTAAAAGCACAGAACGAGTAACCCTCGTTATCACAAAACACTTTTTAACATCTTGTAAAAAAAAAAAAAGACTAGTATTTTCTGAATGAGTGTTTTCCTTTTTTTTTTTTTTAAAAAAAAGATTATCACCCAAACCAAGGTTCAAGAGCCACTCAATATAGAGTATTACTGTTGAAGTGATGAATGATGTATGTGATATGAATGAAGAAGTAGGTGGTAGGAAGTGAAAAATGAGGAAGTTAAGGAGAAAAGATAACAATTGACCCTTCAGTTTTAAGATGTCAAGATTGAAGTGTTCAGGGAATCATCCATGCAAGTGGCCATGCCACAAAGTAGCAGTTATTGGGAAAAAAAACTGAGTGAAACTCTCTTCTTATATTTTGAACATAGAAGAAATGAAAATCCCAGCTGTAAAAATCTTAACTAATAGAATTAAAGAATGGATCTCATCTGAACATTTGCCATGGAAATAATGATAGCCTTGCAATGTTGCATCTGTGGGAAAGACACTGTAATGTGGAGAGTAAGTCTTACTCCGCAAAACTATTTAAACGATTTTGAACTCAAGGCTGGAAAGTGAGGACTGAGTAGGTTCAGCTAAATTTGAAATTTGGTCATTTGATTGGATTTTAGAAAGCAGGTCAGGCTGAGAACTTTTCAGCACTTCCTTGTATATAGAAGGACAGCAGGAAATTGGGAACCAATTATAAACTAAAGAAAAGCAAAGATATTCAAAAGCAAAAATCAATCTGATTTGTTTGTATATATTATTATATAGTTAGTATATACTATTATATAGCTAGTATATACTATTATATAGGATGACCCAAAAAAACGGGAACTTTTTAACACTCCAATAAAACCAAGAGTGATGGAAGAAAAATATTTTATTCATAGTAATTGAAACCTTAAAACATGCCATTTAAGAAACAATGATGGAATTTTCATTTTTAAAAATTATGTCCTGTAGGTGGCGTCCTCCTGTACGAATGCATTCTTGAAATCTGCTGTTGAGATTCCTAATTGACTGCTGCAACATCTCAGCTGCGATACTGTGAATTTTATCTTGAATTCTAAATGGCAAAATGTTTACTTGCTCAAGGTCACTGTCTCGCAGTGTTGCCACTTGCTCATGTCTGGCAATACACACTTCAAAAATTCCCGTTTTTTCGGGTCACCCTGTATATATTATACATGGTGTCAACAAATATCTATCCTACATATAATATATGCTTCTCACTTCTTCCTTCTCCTTCCAATCTCACTCAGCAACACTCTCTTTTGAGTGGCTCTTGGACCTTGTATTGAGTGAACAGTAAAAAAAAAAAAAGAATGATGTTACAAAGTGGAAAAATAAATCTGTTCTCACTAGACTGTGTAATAATTTTGAACTGTCAAGGCAAGGATGGAGCATCTCCAGCCTAGACAGTAGCAATACTCTATTTTTGGTCTAATCTGATTCTTGTAATGATAAAGCATAGCAGGAATGAAATTCTTCCTGGATGGATAGAATGAGCAGGACATTTTTCCATCATCTTTAGCAATGGATTGTATATATAGCAATTTGCTAGGCGCAGCTTAGATGTAGCAAAAGGCTGAAAGTATGGAGCACCCAGTGAGGATTGAACTCATTACTCAGTCGTAACTGATCTAGCAAGACAAGTTTGCTAACCATTTAACCCCATAGAAGTGCTCTAATAATTTTCTAAGCATAGGTTAGATGTGGCACAAGGCTGAAAGTATGGAGCACTCAGTGAGGATTGAATTCACTACTAAGTCATTGATCTAGCAAGACAAGCTTGCTAATCATTGCAGCACATTGAAGTGCTCATGGATTGTACACATGAGTTCTATATCTGGAGTGAACTTAAAACACAACAGAAAACAAAAAATAAATAAATAAAAATTAATTAAAGTGTTGAAAATAACTATAACAATTATAATTATCATGCATTCATACTTTCTAAACCAATGAGAACTGACCACATTTTTCTCTTCCACACACACAAATACATGACATTCCATTAAACAAGAAGTCAGCACACACAGGCCATCAACACATGCATCAACAAAAATTTCAGCTCCTTTTCTTTTTTAAAGACATTATAGTAATATTTATTTCTTAGTACTCAAAAAAAATTTGAGGTAAGAAAACCCTAGACACTTCTTGTATTTTCTCAACTAAATTAACTGGACACTTTATAGAAATTATCACACTTGTTGGCTATGTGGCATGTAGGGGCTTCCTTATTTTACTTGATTTAGCAGCAGCAGCAGCAATGGAAACAATCAGCAGGGTACAGTTGGAAGTCCCAGAACATATAAAAACACCGACCATGCCATGTTCAGTATTTTTTCCACTTCAGCAGCCTCTACATTTACGGCCAACTCTTTTTCACTTTTCATTTTCAGTGACCTCTACCTTCAAGCCCAGTACAAAGAGCTAAATGCAACCCTTGCTGCAGAAGACAAGGCCTGTCTGATTCAAGCTGCCAAAATTGGATTTCTCATTCGTCCCATAGGAACAGGCGAAGAAATATCCCTTCGGAACACCTACCAAAGGAAAACTACACACAACACTTGAGGTGAAGGAGAAGGGCTCTCTAAATAGGTTAACTAATGAGAAGGGTACCCCATAGCCTGATGGAGCCAAGGCCGGTTTTGAATTCAGAGTTTTTCCTTCTCCTAGACTGGTTGCTACACAAGGCTATAGAACCCAGTCTGTCACTATTTTATATTTTTAATTTTGTGCATGTGGGTTTGTTTGGTTTTGATTTTGTCAACTGCAGAATATAGTAGCGTCAGTTGAGCACAGTCCACGAGAAAAATAGTACCATGATACAATTCACTCTGTCAGAAATTTGGAAACGGCATGTTGTACTGCTTGACTTTCGCACCGAAAACTCCAAACATTTCAGAGTGTTTGCATGTCAATTTGAGGACAGTGCAGAAGATTTGGAAAGAGTTAGATGAGTCTAATGGTGATTATGAAGGTGTTTGAAGTATCATGACATTATCATTCATCTTCCACAGGGCTTCAGACTAAATACTGAGGCCTACATCAAGTGCCTTGAGGAGTTAGTGCTGCCCTGAGTCAAGAGGGTGGCTGATAGAAAATCTTATGTCTGGCAATTGGACTCTGCACTATGTCATACAAGCAGAACCCAGTCATGGCTGTCAGACAATATCTGGGGTCACATCCCCACTTAAATCTGGCCACCTAACTCCTCAGACAGCAACCCCTTGATTATTATGTGTGGGGTGGAGTTGAGAGAGACCAACAAAACTCCTTGTAACACCAAAGATGAACTGAAGGCCAGAATTATGGCAGCATTAACCACCTTAAACGAGGAGGCTGTACAGATGAGTTGCAGGAGATTCTGAAGTCATCTGGAGGCCACGGTTGAAGCCCATGGCGATTTTATTGAATGAATTTACTCTTTAATATTTCAAGATGTTTTTGTATAATTTTGGTAAATATGTCTATTAAAATGAGATATCAATGTTATTTTCATTTTTGCATAATTTAGATGACAATTTATCCATCTGTATAAGGTGAACCTTGAAATTACTAATTGGAGTTGACAGCAAGCTGCTACAGGAATTCAGGTCACCCTCGTCCAGAAGGAAAACAATACAGAAAAAGTACACAACCCATTAGAAGACGATAATTGAAACGAAAAACCCATTCACTCCCATCACAAAGAAAAATCTTTGACTAGCATGATTGATCTAAATCTTAAATGTTACCACAAGAAAAAGAAACAACAAATTTTCTTCATACAAAAATGTACCAAATTCCTTACTGAAAAATTATTCAGAGAAATATATTCTTTTATTTTTTTTTCTAAATGTGGTTTTCACTTTGTAGGACCTTCTTTATGCATTATGTTAGTAGCAGTTCGCTAAATCTGTGTTGAAGGTGTTGAATTTAAATATTGTATGCAATAATATAAATTTATTTGTAAAAAGGCATGTTCATTTTTGCTGTTTGATTTAAATGCTGTTGGTCATCCTTAGGCACACAAAATACTAAATTTGTGTAAATCTTTTGTATGTTTATTAAGGGCTGCTGCTGATACTATGTTTATTAAAGACTACTGCTGATACTATGTTTATTAAAAGCTGCTGCTGATACTATGTTTATTAAAAGCTGCTGCTAATACTATGTTTATTAATGGCTGATTCTGGTACTATGTTTATTAAAGGCTGCTGCTGATACTATGTTTATTAAAGGCTGCTGCTGGTACTTATGGTAATTTATGAATAAATTTTATTGTAGCTTTTAAACTCAGCTTGTGTCATCTGTGTCATTTGTTGCGTGCTGATATTTGTTGTCATCTCAAAAATTTGTTTAAAATAATTTTTTGGAGGATTTTTTTTACTAAAACAAATCCTTTAATACAGCATAATTATGTTATGGAAAGTAACTCATATAGAAAAAGGAACAAAAGGTTACTTGGTCATCAAGCACACACAAGAAAAGAAGAAATCTTAATTGGTGTGTAATTAAACAGAAAGAATTTGTATTAGATTAAATTGGGAAGGAAATAAGGTTATTTTAGTGCCTTAATAAACATAGAACCAGCAGCAGCCCTTAATAAACACAGTATCAGCAGCAGCCCTTAATAAACATAGTACCAGTAGCAGCCTTTAATAAACATAGTATCAGCAGCAGCCCATAATAAACATAGTACCAGCAGCAGCCCTTAATAATCATAGTACCAGCAGCAGTCCTTAATAAACATAGTATCAGCAGCAGCCCCGAGGATATAAAAAATAGGCGAC